TATACAGGGGATGCCAAGAAAATGTATATACATTTTAAGAGATGTCATCTATTTATTACTTTTAAAAGTTGAATTAAATTATAGTAGCAATGTGTAGTATGATGTTCACTCAACCGTGCTTCTGCCAGTTTTTTTGTCCTGGCTTTTACATGACACTAACATTCGTTTTGAGGGAACATCATACTTAAAATGTGTATACAGTTTTTTGGCACCCCCCCCCCCGTATATCCAAGATAAATTATGGGATCATTAATTATCAGTTATATACAACTGTGCTAAAGAAGACTGAAGTTATAAGGATGATGCAATAGTAAAATGAATCATCACTATTACATCATTGTTTGATTTTCTTATCCACATAAATAACACCATCATACCCATTTGAGAATTCAAGATGTTTGTTTTCTGCCCATAATCCTAGAGAAGAAAAAATAACAAAAATGTTTTACAGTCATTAAATGGATCAGAAGATGATTGCAACGAGATAAAAATAACTCCTTAGACCTGGACTTATTCTGTTAAGTAGCCACTAGCCAAACATGGTTGTTTTAACTAAGGTTTAAAAATTAAATAAAATTAAAAGTCCAGTTCCTCAGTTACACTAGGTACATTTCAAATATTCATTAACCACCATACCAAAAATAGTGGATACAGAATATTTTCATTATTTCAGAAAGTTCTACTAAGCAGCGTAACTCTAGACTCTGGTGACAGTAAAATTGATCATATAAGCAAAATCTCAAGACTGAAACTTCATTTGATAATATCCTGAATGAATTTTCTCAATCAAGAATCGATGAGTAAATAATATATTACTAAGGACAAACAGGCACTATAGTATATTTATCTTGTTAGGCATCCAGCAAGAAGGACTTTCATCACAAAATATTTTTCAGCAAAAAACTGGACCATCATCCTATTTCCTAAAAAAATCATGTGACATTATTCTTTTAATTTTGATGATGTTTATATACCAAAAGGTACTTAATAAAGTTCATAAGCGGCAAATGCCAAAGGCAGGTATATATACAAAGATAATTAGAAAAACAGATTATGTAGACATTAAAAAGTAATTAGATTGATTATTCTAATTGGCATTTATACACGTAAAGATAAATGTCTTTCACAAATAAGATGGCCATCTTATCTCCAACAAAATAAACTACCAGAGATTTCAAAAGTATTATACTTTGACAGTGTAAGTGCAAGAAGATCCAGAGTATAATAAATAGGAACCTATTATAAATTTATTTGAAATCTGGAATCAATATTTACAAGATGGCAGCGTTCCAAGTTCTTTCATGATAGTCAGTGAGCAGTTAGTTGCATTCAAAGCACGTTACTCATTTTGGTTACATTTACTTTCAAAACCAGGAAAATACATAATAAATATTTGAGTCTCTATGTTTAATTCTTATTAAAATTTCTAATAGATTTGCTCTTTACTTTCCCTTTATCCTTTTGCAAAATTATTCATAGAATTGTTTAAAAATACAGAAAATAAAATAAACAGGGTTTGCTGAACCCAGATGGTAAATGGTGATGACTGTTTTTCCTTGTATACTGAAAGTTAAAATATTCCAGCTCTCCTTCTCCAGAATCTTTTAAAAGAAAAAAAGGCCTCTGAAAGGTTGCTATAAACCCCATCATTTTTTTTCCAGTACTTTATCTGCTGTTTGCATATTTAATGACTCGTACAGCTGTGGAGCACATGAAATTTGATTACAGTGTGATCATTAAGTCGAAGGATACAGCAGATAGCAATATTACATATTCAAATACCAATCTTTTTGTAAAATTTTTAAATTCACTGTTGTGATTTTGCTTATAATTTATAAAACATTTTGAGTTTTTTTGTTGTTGCTTATTCATAACTCAGCCATGCTGTATGTTTACACTGAGAAATTAAATGCAATGCTGAGTTGGGTAATAAAACGGAGACAAGTGCATTGAACATGAAGAATTGTAATGTTTTCCTGACTGGCTGAAGACCCACCCATACAGTTGCCCTTGTTAGCCTGCGTTTTCACCATAGTTTTTCAGTTTACCTTCTTCGGCAAAACATTTGAAGTTGACTTTAGGGCTGTTTTGGCTACTATGAAATGTCAAATTTTAGGAATAAATTGTTTGAAGTTGTAAGAGATAAAATCCTTCTGAATCTTTTAGAATTATATTGAAGGAAGGACATCATTTTGTGTTCAATTAAATACATAAATTCTCGGTTCTCATCAAATGTTGCTTGTAAGAACTATAAGAATCATTCCATTCTTGTCGCCTATTTCTTTGACTCCAGCATATTAAAATCGCCTTTCTCTGACCTCAGACTACTTATTATCTGTGATTAAACTTAAAATAGCTTTGTTTGTTTGTTTTCTTTTGAGTAGGAGTCTCACTCTGTTGCCCAAGCTGTAGTGTCGTGTCACGCTCACGGCCACTGCAGCCTTGACCTGCTGGGTTCAGGTGATCCTTCCGCCCCAGCCTTCCAAGTAGCTGGAACCACAGGCAACCACCACCATGCCCAGCTAATTTTTTGATTTATGGTAGAGAGAGTTCTCACTATGTTGCCCAGGCTGGTCTTGAACCTTTGGGCTCAGGCAGTCCTCTTGCCTCTGCCTCCCAAAGTGCTGGGGTTACAGGCATGAGCTACTGTACCCGACTAACAGTAGTTTTTAACAAGTGTTTGGTTTAATTGTTAATAATTTAACAGCTATTCTTATTATTACACTTTCATCTTTTAATTTGTTGCGTATCTGAGTAATTAGGCAGACTGTAGGTTTATTGAAGTTAAAAAACTATTTCCTCATAGCTTACCTGGTGACATGTATACATACTAAGTACTCATATATTTGTCAAAAGATTCATTCACTGCCAATGTAATGTTATTTCTACTACAAGGTATTTAACAGATATTCCCTTCATTCAAAATTAGTCTTATGGAACTATGTTTAACAAAGAGGAAAGAGCTGATGAAAATAGTCATTAGTGACTCATCTCAGTATTCCTTTTAAATTTGTTCACTCATTCTAATCTGTTAAAAATCTTTTATATGAATGAAAATTATTAAATGTGCTGAGCAGTATTATGGATACAAAAAATATATAAGAATAATACTTTTCCCAGAGTGTTTTTTTGTGTGGTAGGAAAGGTATATAGACACAGTAAACCATGTGTGACATGGTGTTCTGCACAAACATGCATATAGCATTTGCCAGAGGAACAGTGTAAAATGCAGTAGGGTGTCATAAGATCGTTTTTGTTTAGGAATTCATGAATTTGCAGGGTGTTTGCACAAATTCTAAAGGATAAAATTAACAGAAAAGATATTCTGATAAGCCAAAGTAACACAATCAGTTTTATTTTGAACTCATTTTGTAGGAAAGGATTAGATGAGATATTGAGTCTCTTTCAGCAAGTCTCCAAAACCTTAAAAAGAAAATAACCATTTTACTAATGTTTTGTTGTCCTGAAAACAAGCATGTGAAGATCGTATTAATGAAGTGTGTCTATAGTGCTATTGCTAAGTTAAAAAAAATAAATAATAAGTTCTCAAAAACAAATGCGTCACTATGAAATCCAAAATGAGAATTATGCAAATTATTAAGAACTATCATGTATCTAACTGAAACATCTGACTTGTATTTATTTTGGAAAAAATGTATTACTAACTTTCTAATTTGGAGAATTAGACATAATCATTTTTGAAAAGTAGTAAAATGTAGATCAATAACAACCAAAAAGGGAAAACATTCTTTTAAAACTTATTCAGATTCTATGCCCCAGGTACAACCCTTTATTAAAATAATAATAGTTAGCATTTTTTGAGCCATTATGTGTATGTTGAAGTTTTATTTCATGCAGCTAAGCTTTTTATTTGCAAATAAAGATACTTATGGATAAATATTTATCCATCTTATTTTTAACAAACATAGGAAATAAACTGATATATAACCTGATTTTTACATATAATAGTTTTCTTCCATGTCACTAAATAGAGATCAACATAATTTTTTATGATTGAATGTCTTTTACATATTTATATTATGTCTGTATTTTCAGACTTGGTTATCATTTATTTTCTCAGAATAAAGAAAGTCCTAGAAGTGGGCTTGCAGGTTTAAAGAGTATATACGTTTAAGACTTTTGGTTCATTTTGCAAAACACTCTTCAGGAAGGATGTGCCCATTTATATTCCTTCCACACCTTGTCCCCCCAAAATGTCTCTCCCTGTTCCCTCTCAACCTTCAGTATTCTTTTTGATCTTTTTCATTCTGAATGTGCGTACCTCTTTGTTATGGCATTTATTTGATTATTGGTGAAGTTAAATATTTATTTCAAATGTTTTTTGACCATTTGTATATTACATATTCCTGTCCTTAGTCTATTTCTCTACCCAGTCTTTTTTCTTAATTATTTGCAAAAAGGCTTTTATATATTATGTTAGAAATAATTTTCCCTAGTTTGTCATTTTTGTCTTTAATTTTGTTTGTAGTGATGCTTTGCTGTCCAGAAGCTTCATTTCCATTTTTCTACAGGCATATTTATAAAACATTTCCTTTAGGGCATGCTTATAAGTAGACTTTTATGTTCTGTATTCGAGTTCTCTGTGCTACAGGCTGTGGTAGTATTCTGAACCTCTCCCTTTTAGCAGTTCTGTATTGCTATCACATAGTATATTAATAAACAGTGGAGCAAATTTCTCCCCGTCTTACTTTTTTGAAACTGCCCTGACTCTTGTCACACATTTACAGCTGACCTGTACTATTATTTTGTCAAGCCCTAAAAATCCCACTGAAATTCTTGACGTCTTAAAATAGTCTTCCTATTAAAGAATAGGGTATGGCTCTCCATTTATTCGTATCTCTTTAAATTTCCTTGTTTATTTCATATAGGACATAATGTTTTATTCGCTAAGTTTATTTTCACTTTTTGTATTGATCTCTGTAGCTAGCTTGGATTTGTAAGTAAACTATTTGAATCTTTTTTTTTTCTATTTTCATAAGCTTTCGTCAGGAGTGATAAAACCAAACTATTCAGAGGACTGCAAATCAAGGTAAGGTGACTGTAATGGAATCTCTTCTTTTCAGCATTAATTTCTTTCTTTTTTAAGTTAAAATAAATGGTTGAATAAATAATTAGCTTTTCCACACTTCCTAAATATGTACACATATTATGTACCGTAAAACAAAGAACTGAATACCACATGTTCGCACTCATAAGTGGCCCTGAACATTTATCACAATGCTACTAGGGAGGGGGACTGGCAGTTGTGGGACACTGCCCAGGAGAGGGAGGGATGGGAGGCAGCACATGACCTCACAGAGCTTCCCTGATCCTAAACCCAGTTGGAGGCCCAGACTTTACCTGCATGTGGCCTACTCATGTTCTGAGTCCTGACTTGTACCCCACATCTCAAAATTAAAAGGGGGGGGGGATGAAGAATTTTTTTTTTTAATTTGCCGGGCACATTGGCTTACACCTGTAATCCCAAGACTTTAGGAGGTGAAGGCGAAAGGATTGCCTGAGTCAGGCGTTCGAGATCAGCCTGGGCAACTTGACAAGACTTCTTCTCTACAGTAACTCACAAAATTAGCTGGGCATGATGGCAAGCACCTGTGGTTCCAGCTACTTGGAAGACTGAGGCGGAAGGATCACCTGAGCCCAGCAGGTTGAGACTGAGGTGGCTGTGAACGTGCCACTGCGCTCTAGCCTGGGCAGCAGAGTGAGACTCCTACTCAAAAAAAAAAAAAAGGAAGAATTTTAAAAATTTAATGTAAAAAGTTAATTTTTTAATTAATAGGCTTTATTTTTTTAGAGCGATTTTAGGTTTACATAAAAATTAAGCAGAAAGTACAGAATGTTCTCGTATCCTCCCTGGCTCGCCTGCCCTCAGTATTCCCTGTTTTAATATTTTGCATTGGTGTGGGATGTTGGTTACAAGTAATGAACCAATGTTGATACATATTATTAATTAAATTTGCCTTAGAGTTCATTCTTTGTGTTGTACAGTTGCAGGAGCTTTGCCAAATACATAATATCATGTGTCCACTGTTACAGTATCATACATGTAGAACAGTTTCACTGCCCTAAAAATCTCCCATGCTCTAGGTGTTCATGCCTCTTCCTCTTCCCCAACCTCTGGCAACCACTGATCTTTTTACAAACACTTGTTTTACCTTTTCCAGAATGCCATGTAGTTGGAATCGTATACTATCTAGTCTTTTCAAGATTGGCCTCTTTCACTTAGCTAGATGCACTTGAAGTTCTTCAGTGTCTTGTCCACAGCTCAGTAGCTCATTTCTTCTTATTACTTATTCTATTGTACCAGTTTGATTCACCTGTGGAAGGACATCTTTTTTTCCTTTTTTTTTTTCAGCCTTCCAAGTAGCTGAATCTACAGGCGTGTACCACCACACCCAGCTAATGTTTTTTTATTAATTGTAGAGACGAGGTCTCGCCATGTTACCCAGGCTGGTCTCAAACCCATGAGTTCAGGCAATTCTCTCACCTCAGCCTCTCAAAGTGCTGGGATTACAGGCATGAGCCACCATGCCCAGCTGTTTCATTACATTTAGTAAGACTCAAGTGGTATGTGTGCAGGTTGATTACATAGGTCTATTGCATGATGGTGAGATTTGGGCTTCTACTGAGCCCGCCCCCAGGTGGTGAGTGTGGTACCCAGTGGGTACTTTTTCATCCCTTACCCACCTCTCCCTCCACCCCTTAGTTCCCAGTGTCTGTTGTTTTCATGTATATCCAGTGTTTGGGTCCCACTTACAAGTGAGAACATGCAGTATTTAACTTTCTGTTTCAGTAATGATTCACTTAGAATGATGACATCCAGCCGCAAAGGACATGATTTCACTCTTTTATGGCTGCATAGTATTCCATGGTGTACATGTACCCTACTTTATCTAGTCCACCATTGATGAGCAGGACATCTTGATTGCTTCCAGTTTTTGGCATTTATGAGTAAAGCCGCTATAAACATTTTTATATAATTTTGGAATAATTTCTACATACACAAACACTTCACGTCACCTGTGAGCACAATTGCTGGATCATGTAGTTAAAATTTTTAGCTTTGTAAGAAATGGTGAGACTGTCTTCCATCATGACTGCATCGTGTTGCATTTGAACTAGTGATGAGTAAGAGTTCCTACTGCTTCACCAGCATTGGGTATTGTCACTGTTTTGGATTTTAGCCATTGTAGTATATATGTAGTGGTATCTCATTGTTTTCATTTGCATTTCCCTAAAGATACATCATTTGAGCATCTTTTCATGTTTGCCATCTGAAGGTCTTTGGGGAGACGCCTGTTCATATTTTCCACCGCCCCCACCATTTCTTAATTGTGACTAAAAAGCGCAGAATTTACGGTCTTACCCATTTTTAAGTATAGAGTTCAGCGATGTTTTCACATTGTTTTGCACAGACCTCTTTCATTTTTTTCATCTTGTGAAACTGAGACTCTATGCTCATTAAACACTAATTCCTTCTTACCACTCAGCTTTTGGCAACCATGTTTCTACTTTCTGATTTTATGATTTTGACACTTTGAATACCTCATATTATTGGAATCATATAGTATTTGACCTTTTGTGACTGGCTTATTTTACTTAGCATAATGTTCTCAAAGTTCATCCACATTCTAGCTTACGACAAAATATCCTTCCTTTATAAGGCTGCATAATATCCCATTGTATGTATATACCACGTTTTCTTTTTTCTTTTTTGAGTTGGAGTGTCGCTCTTGTCACCCAGACTGGAGTGCAGTGGCATGCTCACAGCCACCGCAACCTTGGCCTGCTGAGCATGGGCGATCCTTCCACCTCAGCCTTCCAAGTAGCTGGAACTCTGCAGTTCCACACTATAGCATGCCACCACACCAGCTAGATTTTCTTGTGATTTATTGTAGAGACAAGGGCTCACCAAGTTGCCCAGGCTGGTCTCGAACCCCCAGGCTCAGGCACTGCTCTCGCCTCGGCCTCCCAAAGTGCTGGGATTTTAGACGTGAGCCACCGCACCCAGCCTACCACATTTTTCTCTAGCCTTTCATCTGTTGATAGACACTGAAACTATTAGTACATCTTTTGTGTATAATGCTACAGTGTATAATGCTACAGTGAACATGGGAATGCAGCTCTCTCTTCAAGAATCCTCATTTTTAGTTCTTTTGAGTAAATACCAGAAGTGGGTTTGCTTGATCATATGATAGTCCTGTTTTTAATTTTTTGAGGAACCCACATACTGTTTTTTCTAATGGCTCACCGTGTTACATTCCCATCAGTAGTACACATTGTTCGAATTTCCTCACATTCTTACAAACACCCGTTCTTTTCTGGGTTTTAATAGTGGCCATCCAAATGGATGTGGGGAGTTATCTCACTGTGGTTTTGATTTGCATTTCTCCTATAATTAGTAATGTTGAGCATTTTCTTTGCTATTTGTATATCTTCTTCGGGGCATTTCCTATTCGAGTCCTTTGTCCATTTCTTAGTTGGGTTTTTGTTGTTGTTGAATTGTAGGAATTCCATATGTTCTGAATATTAAACTTTTATCAGATATATGATTTGCAGATTTTTTCATCCTTCTCTAGGTTGTCTTTTTATTCTGTTTGTTGTTTCCTTTGATACACAGAAGTTTTTACGTTTGTGGTTCAACTTGTCTATTTTTGCTTTTTTTGTTCACTTTTTAATTGGGCTTTTTTTATTTAAAGATAAGTTTTAAGAGTTCTTTGTATATTTTGAATACAAATATTTTATCAGATAATGTTCTGCAATTGGTTGTGGCCTATAATTCCTTTTACATATTGTTGGATTTAATTTGCTAATGTTTTGTTGAGGATTTTTGCAGCTATGTTGCATCTCATTTCTTATTTGTTTTTTATTGAAATACGATTTTGAATCATCAAAAACTTTAAAACAATTTATGGAGTAACCTGACCAAAAGGGTTTAAATAGTATTGTTATTGATTCGTTAACTCAAACAATCCATTTTTCTAAACTCCACAAATGATTTGGGAATATACTAAGTACAAATAATCACATCAGAGCTCATCTCTTATCTCTGGAGTTCACAATCCTAGAAGACCTTAAAAAGCTGAAGCACATTTGCTGAAAGAAGTTCTGAGAATATCCTTCATCATCACTGATATATTTTTAGTTATCTGGTTCTACTTAATTTTAAATTGAAGATTTGATCGCTGAACAAACAAGTTTGTGTTTGTTGTCATATTTACCCGGAGTTAGAATCTCTTAAGCTCAAGCTTCTGGAACCCAGCCTAACTCTAAACTGATTACAACAAAATCATTAGATTTGTTAAGCCAAGGAAAATGTATGATCCTGTGTGTGATTCTGTGTGTGATAACTTGTATGCCCAGCCTACTTCAAAGCATTGCTTTTATACCATAATTTTTTCTTATCAATTATTTTGAACTTGTCTATCTCTCTGTTTGATTTTAAGCTCATTTGAGTTTGAGAGTAGTATGTATGCATTAAATATTTGTTATAGTCAATAAGCAATAGGTATTTGTTATATTCAATAATAATAAAATCTCAAATAAACTATCTTGATACCAATAGATATTTTTGTCTTTAGAAGTAAAATAATTTTTTTAAATTATCATTTTCTATGAAATTCTATGAAACTCTCCCAAAAGACTTCCTTTAAGACCTCTTTTTTATGATGTTATGTCTAAAAGCTTTTTTTGATTAGTGCTAAATTTAATTATGCTGGATTGAATTGTGTTGATCTTGGTTGAGGCTGAGAAGGCTCTTTTTAAGCCGAAAATAATGATGACATTCCCCTTTCTTATAGTATGTTCGCGGATCAGACCCTGTGTTAAAGCTTTTGGACGACAATGGGAACATCGCTGAAGAGCTCAGCATCCTCAAATGGAACACAGACAGCGTGGAAGAATTCCTGAGTGAAAAGTTGGAGCGCATATAAGTCTTGCTTAAAATAGGTCCTATCCTTTTGTTACCTTATCAAATGAAATACTACTGCACCTAGAAAATATTTAGTTTTGCTTGCTTCCATTGATCAGTCTTTTACTCTGAGGTATTAAACATTTAATTAGATCTTGAAGTGGCAGCACAGCCCATGATATCTAAGAAGACAGCAAGCTTGACAAAGCTCATTGTTTATAAATCTCCATCCGTTTGCATTTGTTGATACCACGAACAGAATGCTTTGTAACAGGCTTGTGGTTAATTATACAAATTATAGTTTGTGATCATTGTCCAGCTTTATGAACAACTGGTTTTTAAATGAGGGAGGTTAATAAGACAGATGATGACGATGCCTCTTGTGCTGTGTGCTCTTTGAAAGTAATGACAGAAAACTAGAGCAAGTAAGAAACACCAAGCCTCAGTAGGTTGCCAGCTCCACAGAGTGGCTCATATTTTTTGTATTGCCCAGCTTTCTTTTTAATAAAAATGTCATTTATAGTTTATAATGAATGCATTGCATAAAAACTTTGTGGCTTCATTATTACAAAACAGATCCAAAATCTACAGTAAGAGTGAACATTCACAGAGATTTGCATCAATGAAGACTACACAGAGAACCTTTCTAAGGATTTGTGTGGATCTGATATTTGGCAAATGTTTGAGTTTTACACTCTTATAGGAAAGTCCATTTTAAAATGATCATTTGTAAGACCAAAATATAAATAAAAAGTTTCAAAAAATCTGTCTGAATTTGAAGCTCTTCTGGTTTGTCCTTTCATGTTTAAAAATGATGTTTCTCAGTGCCTTCTTGTTTTCTTTTTGTAAGCCTTTGTTTTAGCCAAAATGTAAGAATGGCTGTAATGTTTAAGACTTAACCATAATTTCTTATTGTTGGTAATATTGCTTTATTATATTTGCTGCTTTTGTTTTTCAAAGTTCTTTCATTTATAAACACACTTTCATTGTTATTAGATAATGGACTTTTTATATTTAAAATGTTTATTTTTATTTGCTTAACCTTCAGTCTGGTCAAAGTGACTTCTTCCTAACAGGTGTTCACTAAGACCAACATTCATCCAAATGACTTCTTGGTCACTTAAATCTCTTGCTGACTTATCAGATTGGTCTAATATCCTACTCTGTCTACTTTATTTCAGGAGAAATTCTTATAATCTAGAAACTGTCCTAATGGTTGGTTTTGAATTAAACTACCTTAATGAAAGATATTTGGAAATCTATAAAGGCAACTCCATCAGAGAATGTTTATGAAATAAGTATTTTCAATAGAGATCAGTTACTAGTCTTTATTAGCATTTGTATTATGTGATAATTAAAATTAAGAAGTCTATTTTTAAAACCAACAAGAGAATGAATATGAACCCTGGATAATTTGGCTAATCAAAATGAAATAAGAAATCCTGGCAAACAGACGACAGTCTACTCTTGCTCATCCATAGCAATGGAGAGGGCCATCATTTTCCTAGAATAGTGAGAGGCATGCTCTGGTTAAATGTGCCACTAATGCCTAGTGGTTATTACTACATCAGAACAAAAGGAAGATTAAGCCAATTGTGGACAGTGGAAAAAACAACCACCACATACAGAAGAATAGTGGGATTCAAGAATGAAACTTCAAAACTTCTGGGATTGGCATAGAGAACTAATTGGACTGATTTCTGGGCAGGAAGAGTTAATTAAATGAGTATCTGGCATTGATTTTTTGGGATTTTTTTTCCTCCCCCCCCCCAAAAGTGAAGAGGCCTAAAAAGTCTATTGTATTCAAGTTTTTATGAGAGATCAAAGAGGCTGAAGAATTCCACAGCATCTTAGAGCTTCCAAGTTCTCAAGTTGATAGATTCAAGGGTACCTACCAAGCCCCACTTTCTTAATTGGGAGGTTCAACTTAATCAGCCGGTTCCATCTGTTTTTCACCAATTGCAATCAAAGAACAGCTTTTTTAGAAAACAAAGTCACTGATTACCAATAATGGGGTATGGTGATCCAAGAAATACCATTTTGTAGCCAAATTCTGACATTTGATTAAGCTTATTCAAATTCACAAACATGGGTATGTAATAGTCATTTGATATTTATGACTGTTCTTCCTGCCAATTTTTGTTACTTGTAACCTAAAACAATGTATCTGTAAATGTCTAAATTTGGCAAAAGCCTCTTATAAGAAGCTATGAACAAGAACTGCCGTTTTCTGTTTCAAAAGAATTTGAGGCTGGAAAGATAATCTATAATTAACATTAGTAAAATATAGAAAATACTTTTTTTTTTTTTTTTTGAGTTGGAGTCTCACTCCGTTGCCCAGACTGGAGTGCAGTGGGGCAGGCTCACGGCCACCCCAGCGTCAACCTGCTGGACTCCAGCAATCCTTCCGCCTCAGCCTTCCAATCAGCCAAAATTACAGGTGTGCGCTACCATGCCTAGCTAATTTTTTTATTTTTATTGTAGAGACAAATCTCACCAAGTTGCCCAGGCTGGTCTTGAGCCCATAGGCTCAGGCAATCCACTTGCCTCAGCTTAAAGTTTTGCAGTATTTGCTTAGAAAATACTTTTGAAAGCAAATACTGTAAAACTAGAAGTTAACACTGGCAATAGCTAGTATGTGAAAACATGTCTGCAAATGCTAGGAAGAAGTATACGTTCCAGATACGAGCACAACTAGGTAAGTATTTCTTTTCCTTGAAAATTAAAGTATCTTTAAATTATATCATTTGGTGGCAGAGACTTTTGGGGAGGACAAGGCCTGCATTTGTGGTCATAAATTCAAAAGACACTTGCTGATGAAGTGTAAACAACATTTTGCCTTTGAACTGGTTCTTGACCTAGGAATCAATAGCATGAAAAATGGTTATTTGGAAATACTGAGGGAATAAAACTAAGGGTAATTGAAGCCTCTAAAATTAGATATTTTCTGTTTTATCTGTAGCAAAAAAAAAATATTTTTAATCATTTTGGTAGAAAAGCTAAACTAGTTTATCATTTTCAGAGTCCCTTTTTAAATTCACCTACTTGCTAAAATTTGTTACACAGTGGCACCCCATAAATAGCACTTTCATATCCATTCACAATATGCACAGAGCATTCAAAAATTTAAGTTGCCCAGTACATATTCCCAGTTCACAAACATGAGTATGTAATAGTCATTTGGTATTTATGATTCCTCTTGCCAAACTTAGTTTTTTCCAACCCAAAACAGTGTGTCTCTAGATTTCTGAATTTGGCAAAAGCTCCATATAAGAAGCTATAAGTAACAACTGACCTTCAGTAAGGTGTCTCAGGTCTCATAATGTAGACAGGTGTTCTTTTCACAGTATGTAGTGCCCTGTCTTTCACATATGGTGCTTTTTTTGTTGGGGTTTCACTGTTTAAAATGGCTCCAAGCATAGTACTGAAGTGATGTGTTGAGTACAAGAATTTTTGACAAGTTCAGTGTTAATAAACCACACTAAGTAAGATGTCTAAACAAACACATAAAACAAGAGTATGTGTTGATAGGTTGATGGAAATGTCACCAGAGGTTCCCAGGAACCTAACCCTGTTTCCCCTAAGAACAATGGTTCAGCATTCACAAATTCAGTGCTTGCAGCGACTTTATAGTATGAACATGTTAACTACCATGAGTAACTAATATTAACTGTAACTTTGTAAACATTTTTATTGAATTATAATTCACATAAAATTCACCTGTCTTACACTATGCAAGTCAGTGGTTTTTTTAAGTACAGGTTGAGTATCCTTATCCCTTATGCTTGGGACCAGAAGTGTTTCATGAGTGTCATGCCAGTTCTCAAAAAGTTTGGGATTTTGGAGCATTTTTTATTTCAGATTTTCAGAATGCTCAACATGTATATTCACAGAATTGTGCAAACATCACCACAGTTTAAATTTAGAACATATCAACCCAGAAAGAACTCCAGCCCTAGACAACCACGAATCTGCTTTCTGTCTCTGGATTTCCCTATTCTAGGCATTTCATATAAATGATTTTAAATATCACTTATGGCCTTTTTTCTGGCATCTTTCACTTAGCATGTCTTCAGGGATCTTCCATATTGTATCTACTTAATACTTTTTTACAGTTGAATATACATACGTATATTATATACACTCACACACACACTTTTCATATATGAGTTTTATGTACAAAAACATACCTAGGAGTGAAATTGCTTAGTCTTGTTCTATGTTTAACTTTTTGAGGAACTGCCAAACTTTTCCAAAGTAGCTACATCATTTTGCATTTCCACCAGCAATGTGATTTTTCTAGTTTCTGCATATCCTAGAGTGCCTTGCTCTGTCACGAAGCTAATACTCATTATTTTGCAGTCTCACCAGGGACAGTTTAGATGTATTAATCACTTTGCTCTCCACTAAATGGTCTTTAGGCAACGATATTTTATATTTTTAATTCTCTCAATTTTGCCTGCCTCTTCTGCCTTCTGTCATTTTACTGGATCTTAACTCATTTTCCTCTTCTACAGTTTCAGTGATGAAAAAACCCATAACACCCTCATACTGAAGCCTCTAAAATTAGGCATTTCCTGTTAGCCATTCCTGAAACATACATTCCAAGGGTTGTATTTGATTTATCCAGCACAAAACTTCTAAAAACCATTTTGGTAGAAAAACTACAGTTCACAGATTAAATAACTAAAGCACAAATATACAATTACAGTTATGTTAAAAGGAATAAAGAAAAAGTTGCAAGGTGAGAACTGCAGAGAAGGCACAAATGAGTTTAGGAATGTCTGGAAATAGGACATTTAAACTGGGGCCTAAGACATGAACAGAAGCTATCTAGAGAAAGAGTGAACTGAAATGCCTCCAGTCAGGGAAGAGCATGTGCCATGACCCTGACTTAGGAGAAACCTAGCACTTCCACACACCAGAAGGAAGGCCAGTACGTCTGGAACCTAGTTAGCCAGGGTGAACAGTAAAAGGAAATTGGGGCGGTAGGGAAGAGAACACAGTTCGTACCATCTTGAAAACTAGATGTATTCTAAGTTAATTTTACAGTAAGACCAGAAAAGGAAAAAGCCTTAAGCAGAGGAATTACGAGATCCAATAAGATCACCCTAAAAGTCATGAACCATCAGCAAAAAGTCAATTATGCTATGTGAACACTCAAGTTACATTATCTAGCGCTTTCACTAATGACTAATACCTCTTTAGGAGCCTCTAGTATACAATTTGCGTTTTTTTTATTTTTTATTTATTTGGGGGGGGGTTGGAATCTCACTCTGTCGCCCAGACGAGTGCAGTGGCCGCTCCCGGCCACCGCAGCCTCAACCCGCTGGTCTTCGGCGATCCTTCCGCCTCCACCTTCAGAGTAGCTGGAACTACAGGCGCGCACTACCACGCCCAGCTGATTTTTGATTTATTATAGAGAGGAGGTCTCCCCAAGTTGACCAGGCGGCGGGTCTCGAACCCGCGGGCTCAGGCAGTCCACTCACCTCAGCCTCCCAAAGGCGCGGGATTAAAGGCTGAGCCACCGAGCCCAAGCCCGGCTACAATTTGCATTTTAAAACTACTCCGTCAATTTGCTTTGAGAACAACAAAAAAGCCGGGCATAGTGCTGTAATCCCAGCACTTTCGGAGGCAGAGGCAAGAAGATTGCCTGAGCCCAGGGTTTTGAGACCAGCCTGGGTAACTTGGTGAGACCTCATCTCTACAATAAATTAAAAAAAAAAAATTAGCTGGGCGTGGTAGTGCATGCCTGTAGTTCCAGTTACTTGGAA